AAAAAAAAACAAAACTGATAATGTACTCAGCTGACCCTCCTTGTCTTGTCCCACAATAAAACCTGCCGCTGGTGTTTCCAAACGCGCTGTCATTAAGCACATAGAGAAATCAGTCACCAGGAGGCAGAAAGAGCTGAGGGCTCAGTTCTCCCTTGGATCTCCATTGAACGTATTCGCCCAGCTAAGCGAAGACCTTTTTGGTCCCTAAGGTCACACCCTCCATTTTACACCTGACAGAGTGAAAGCTCCATGTTTTAAAAGCCTAAGAAACTCTTAGAGCAGAAGGCCTCAAGAGTTTTTATTTCCAGCCTCAACTCCAGAGTAGAACAAAGATTTATTTTTTTCAACGCGAAAAAGCTAGTGAGAGTATTGAAAACTGACGTAATAAGAAGCTTGGATAGGACAGGGAGTTATAACACCCCAAGATTTTACTAGGAAACTTTAGCCTAGAATTATTATGATTATACATGAGTGACTTTAAAGACTACTTTTAAGAAGCTAATTTCAGGGATCAGTAATTATTCCAAAATGTTTAAACTTTTTTTTCAGCTGCTTTCAAAGCAGTTCTTCCGGAAGACTCGAACCTAATGTGGGAGTAACTCTTCCACACTTACTCATTCATTCCCACTGGCTGGTATTTTAACTCAAGTAGCATCCTGGGTGTTCTGCCTTCTGTCCGGTCTTGTAAAGCTGTCACACAGAGAAGGTTAATTAAGTGGGGCAGACTGGGATAGGCCAGACTAGTTGGGGGCCCCGCACAGGGGCAGGCAGACAGTTTGAGTCAGGGAAGGAACCGGTAAGAACATGTTGGAAGAGATTCTTCCATGAGGCGGTCCCGCAGTGAGGCAGGCTGCTCCAGGCAGTGCGGGCTGCAGGCGGAGGCAGCGGGGGCCAGTGGAAACCTCTGGCGTCACACGCTGCGTGAGAGTGAGTGCAGTGAGATGGGTCAGGACCATGTCTCAGGGCCATCAGCGTCAGGCCTTGGACAGGTGGCCGACAGCAAGCAGACCTTCATGGACTCATTCAACAAATACTCCTGGAGTATAGACTGTGTCCTAGAAACCTGGCCCCAGAAACAGGACAGAGGAGAAAAGAGACCTAAAGATCTTGGATTCAAATGGAAGCAGCAAAGACTATACCACACACACACACACACACACACACACACACACACACACACACACACACAGAAAGCAAAGTGTGTGGTGAAAGAATACAACAGGGGAGACTGTGCTTCAGAAGAGGTCTGACCTTTGACGTGGGCGTCCAGGGTGGTGCTGCTTCTCGAAGACGAGAATGGGGAGAGCTGAAGGAAGTGAGGAAGCCACCCAAGCCATAAAACAGGACTGGCCTTCATCAGTGAGGCTACAAGGGGGTTCTGCCTTTCCCCATGGGCAAAGGGCACGGCCCTAGGACAGATCACAGGTGAGGGAGACCCAGGATGCTTAGTCACCTGCAGCCGAATTAAATCTGGACAGGGACGAGTTCTTACTCATCTTTGTATCTGCAGCATAAAGCACAGGTATCCAATAAATGTTCAGTGAGCAGAGCCCTTAAATCTTCAAGCCCCTGGGGCGGGGGGTGAGATCTACATGACCCCTCCACACTCCAGGCAGCCGTTCCTGGGGCGGCGACACCCCCATGAAAGAATGTGATGGCTTCTTTGATGGCTTTTCAGGGCTGTCTTCCTGATCTTTGAGGGCAGGGAGTTTCTCACAACTGGTACTCTGAACACCTAACATTGTAGAAGGTGGTGAATGGGGACAGGGAAACCCACAATCCCTGCTCAAGACCCCAAGATCTTGATCCAGCCCAATAGGGAGGGCAGGTTTTCTGGCTGCCATAATCTGAGCTGTACAAGAACCCAAACAGCAGTAAGTTAGACAAGTCGGTGAATTCTCTAAGATTCATTGCACTTTATACACTTAAAACAAGTGTATTTTATGATATATAAGTTATACTAATAAAGCTGCTCAAAAACATTGATGGAACCCATATTTAGACAAATTTCACATGCTGTCTTGATAAGCGAAAGGGTTATCCAAAAACGTGAACATCCTTCTTAATAAATGTTTAAACCAAATTGATTTGTGTGAAATAATAGGAGAAACACATTACTCTCTGCCCCCAGTTCCTGGCACAGAACTCAAAATCCTTGTAATTTCCTAAGTAATAGGAGCAGTTAAGAGCATTTGCTGTTCTAATAGCTGGTTTTGACCCAGTTCCTAACATAAAGTTCCCAAATGCAAGTTCCTGGATGATAGTGGTGCTTTGCACTAATGATATGACCCTGACAGGCTCCTGGTGGCTCCTGGCCTCACCGGGAGGACCAAGGACTAGAAGCTTGGAATTCTCTCCCCAGAGGGG